GGCCTCATATTATTACACCAGCCTTGGATAATAAAATATAACCAGGAATGATTGGTCATGGGTGAGGGTATCCCAATACTTCGTCCTGAAACGAACCAAAACTCTATTTTAGTAATACATCTTCATTCTGTCAAGTTAAATAAAAAAAAATACCCAAGAAAACCATAAAGACCATTCTAGAAAACACCTCACTCACTATTTTAACCCTTTCACTGTTGGTGCCATAGGTACTATGGCTTACAAGCCAGTGTTGGTGCCATAGGTACTATGGCTTACAAGCCAGTGTTGGTGCCATAGGTACTATGGCTTACAAGCCAGTGTTGGTGCCATAGGTACTATGGCTTACAAGCCAGTGTTGGTGCCATAGGTACTATGGCTTACAAGCCAGTGTTGGTGCCATAGGTACTATGGCTTACAAGCCAGTATTGGTGCCATAGGTACTATGGCTTACAAGCCAGTGTTGGTGCCATAGTACTATGCCAAAATTCTAGCAGGAGAAAGCTGGTAGGTTTGCACGTGAGAGAATGGGCTGCATGCTCAGTGTGCGCAGTATAAAAAAAAATTGGGGAGCCAGTGGTGCACTGTGGGAGTCCCATTTCAGTAAGCCTTGCTTACCATGCTTTGCGGTAAAAAATAGCTCACTCCCCAGCGAATTGGGACTCTTCTATTCCCAAGTGATAGCTCTAACACAGATGGAAGTGTCAGTTAAGATGAATTTCATGGTTCTGAGGAGTTTGTGGCCAAAAGCAATGCCCAGGATACCAGAAATAGTGCTGAAAACCCAGACGATCATCAACCTAGGATAACCCACAAAAGTCAAAGTGACATTATACTGGTCTCACAGGCCACAAAAGTTACTTGAAAAAATACAATATTAAAAAATAAAATAAAAATAGAATAAAAGTAAAAATAATATTACCAAGTGAGCAGCAGTTGCCAATGTTGCCATAAGCGGTTCACTTTCTGTCAACTTTGCACCTGTATCTCAGTAAATTCTGATTGCAAAATTTTTTTTCTTTTAAAACACTCAGAAAAATATTCGTAAGATTTTGGTAAGAAATTTTGTTTTCAAACATTTTTTGACACTGAAAGCAGGTTTGTGATCAGAGGTCTCGACAGTGAAATGGTTAAACTAAACATAAGGTCAGTGGTTTTCTTTCCCCATCATCTTTTACTTACGGCAGGATTTCATTTATACCATGCACTCACTGCACAAACCCATTCTCTCATGTCTGGGCCAAAATTTACCACTAGCAACATATGTGCTTAAAACATAGATCTATGCAAGTGACACTGGTGTCAATAACATAGATCTACACAAGAGACAGTGAAAAAGTTGAAAGTGATTAGCAGGAGCCCATCTTGTACATAAAGTAAAAATAGCTTTAGACATATACACTATCAACAATTTTTTAAATTACAAGTTTGATGCCACTGACATTAGAATTACAGTACATTTAAATTCACATGACATCATACATAAATGCTGGCTCTAGGCACATGTCGATTAGACACTAGGCCTGTTGTATATGAGTGCATGTACTCATACACAACATGTACATGTACACACACATGTACACTGTGTGTGTGTGTGTGTGCGCACGCATGTGTGTGTGCGTGTGTGTGTGTGCGTGTGTGTGTGTGCGTGTGTGTGTGTGCGTGTGTGTGTGCGTGTGTGTTCGTATACACACTCCTCTGGGGTTTTCTTCTATTTTCTTAACAGTTCTTGTTCTTGTTTATTTTTTATGGGAAAGTAGAACAGAATTATTCTTCCGTAACTCATGTGTGTCGTAAGAGGCAACTAAAATGCTGGGAGCAAGGGGCTAGTAACCCCTTCTCCTGTATACATTACTAAATTGAAGGAGAGAAACTTTCATTTTTCTTTTTAGGTCACCCTGCCTCAGTGGGATACGGCCAGTTTGTTGAAAGAAGAAGAAAAATCTAGATAAATATGTTTTTTGACTGAATTCCACTATTAACACTTAAACTGTCCAAATGTAGATCTACGTTTACGTGCGTAGCGCTCCGACCTTTATTTTCCCCATTTGAAAGCATGTAAACAAAAATGTAGATCTACGTTCAGAGCCCCCCACACGTGAACGTAGATCTATGTTTGGACAGTTTAAGGGTTAATATCAAGAAACTGTTCCAAACCCTGTTTGCTGGTAGTGATATGAAAGGTCCTGTGTTGTTGTTTACAAATGCTACTGAGACAATGTTACTCATAATGCACTGCATGGACCAGCCTAGTCAAGGATTTTTTCCCAGGCATGAAGTGATAGGTGACCCCAAACAGTTGAACTGAGACTTAAAATGGTGGCAGCATATTTTAAGATGTAGGGTGTACATTGGACACAATATGATCCCCAATGTATGGCATACGTCACATAGTTTAAGGGCACCTGATCGCATGTAAAAAATACATCAAACAACTAAATCTGGTGCGTGTAGATACAAGAAAAATCTTCAAGTAATGTGTAGGAATAGAAGTGCCTGTGTAATTACCTATTTGTAGTAAGAAGATTAGAGCCCTACTTGTGTTGTCAGTCTTTCATTATCAGATACTCTGTGTTTTTCAACTTCAGTGGTTGCAGCAAACTATCTTCTCATCCATCTCAGCTATCCAACACTATAAAAAGTACTTTCTGTAGTTTTTCATAATTTACAATTGATAAATAACAAAAAGGCACAATACCGTGACTGGAACGATACACAAATAACCCGCACATAAAAGAGAGAAGCTTACGGCGACGTTTCGGTCCGACTTGGACCATTGACAAAGTCACACTAACAGAGGTGGAGCAGGATGGCTATATATAGGCAGGAAAGGTGGAGGTAGTAGTAGTAGTAGTACAAGAATTGTATATAATACCGACAGGATGAAATGACACATGCACAACACCCGGGCATCCCCACCGTAGACGTTTCGCCATCCAGCCAGCCACTGGATGGCGAAAGGGCCCACAACAAAGACAACCAGACGCCGCACATTGTCTTAATTTCATCAGTAGTTGTAGTAGAAGAAAAGAGGTAGTAGTAGTGGGTAGTGGGAGAGTGGGAATAAGGAAGACGAGCCAGTCAAATACAAAGGAAGGGGAGCACTGCAAGAGAGCTAGAAACCCACAGAGGGGGAGGAAGCGCACCGAGGGGCGCCCTTTAGTTGAATCCTCTCTTTTTACACAACTTTCCTTGTATGAACCTTAGCCCCGGCTTCGTCTTGTAGATTTCCTTCCTCTCCCACTACATTGTAAAATGCTCCAAACTTCAGAACCCGTGACTTAACCTGAATCCTCATTTTTTTTCTTCTTCTTCTTCTTTCTTCTTTTTTCTTCTTCTTCTTTTCTTCTTTCTTCTTCTTCTTTCTTCTTTTCTTCTTCTTCTTCTTTCTTCTTTTTCTTCTTCCCCTTCCCTTTTTCCTCTCTCCTTTTCTCTCTGGGTTGTCTTTCTCTCTCCTGTCTCGTGTTTCTGTTCCTTTTTCATTTATTTTATTTCACCACTTCCCCTTTCACGCACCTGGTGCGCTTGCTCTCCCTCTGTGTGGTTTCTAGCTCTCTTGCAGTCTCCCCATCCCTTTGTATTGACTGCTGTCTTCTTATTTCCAATTCTAACCACTACCATACTACTACCTCTTCTTCTTTACTACAACTACTGATGAATTTAAGACAATGTGCGGCCCTCTTTGGTTGTCTTTGTTGTGGACGTTTCGCCATCCATTGGCTGGCTGGATGGCAAACGTCTACGTTGGGATCCCGGGTGTTGTGCATGAGTCATTTCATCCCGTCGGTTTTATGACAATTCTTGTACTACTACTATACCACTACTACCTCCAATCTTCCGCTATATATAGCCGTCCGCTCCACTCTGTTTTGTGACTTTGTCAATGGGCCCAAATCGGACCGAAAGCGTTTTTAAGTTCTTTTTTTATGTGCGGGTTATTTGTGTTATTTACAATTGCTTATGCACACATACTAGAAGCATGACATTCAAAAAGGCATTGGACTTTTAAATGAATACACACCCTCCCACTTCGACCTGCTGCTTACCCACTTGGGGCTTTTGACCGTGTTTTTTTGCCCAAATTTTTGGGAAATAAACAAAAATCTTTTTGTACCGGTTTTTCCTAAACCCTTACAAAAAATACGTACAACAACATTTAAAAAGTAAAGTAAAACATGAAATACCAAAATAAAACAATAAAATAAAGTCATTACAAAAATGTTTTGTTGATATTCAGTAGTAAAGTTCGACTTACGACCATTTCGACTTACGACCGGTTTCTCGGAACCGAACTCGGTCGTAAGTCGGATGGCAGGTGTATTGTGATCTAATTTTTAATGGCTTTAACCCCTTCACTGTTGGTCCCATAATATTATGGCCTGCAAGCCAGTGTTGGTTCCATAATAGTATGCCAAACTTCTAGTCGTTTCAAATCTTGCGGGAGAAAGCTGGTAGGCCTACATATGAGAGAATGGGTGAGAGTGGTCAGTGTGTGCAGTATAAAAAAATCGTGCAGCATGCAGTGCATAAGAAAAAAAACTAAGACCGTGTTTTTCGTTTAAAACAGCGACTTTGCGGTATATTTTCGTATGGTATTTATGGTTGCATTCTTGTTTTCTTGATCTCATTCCATAGAATGGAAGATATATTACAGAACTAGAGATGATTTTGAATGGTTTACGGACTAAAAGTACCTCGAAATTAAGTAATGAAAATGATTTTTGCCGATGTTCAAGAGTAAACAAATCATGTCACACGTCCAATACACGTCAACTGGTGGGTCTAATATGCTCTCACAAATGCGCTGCCATTATTTATACCATTTTTACAATAATGCAATAGTCTGCATAACAGTAAATCTCCTATGTTTTGTGTGAATAAACATTCAAAATGGAAAGCAAGCGTAATATAAGAGGGGCCTGGAGACATGACTAATGAAGAGAGAAAACATTATTTTAATGCTAGGAATGTTTGCATTGTTAATTTTGGACCCTATTTTGAAATTTGCTTTCCTTGAATTGTGTATGAACTTGGCCAAATTACCAATTTCTGATCACTTTATTGGGTTAGGTGAAATTGGTAAATGGGCAGTTTCTTGTACTCAACTGATAGAACAAAAGGAATTCAAGCAAAATAGCTATAAGTGTGGCCATCTGGAACAATGGAATTGGCCAAAAATAGGGCTCAAACTGGACAAAATCTCTGATGTATAAATATCACCGAGACCACCAACTTCACGAGAGCATAAGTCCGTAAGTTTTCCATCAAATTTCATACTTTTGGTGCCATTACCATCAGGAAAAGATTCACTATCATTTCATAAGAATTTTCTTTTTTTTTAAATTCTTCAGCAGTTTTTCTTCTTCTCTTTTTTAGTAAATGTCTACAGGAGAAGGGGATACTAGCCCATCGCTCCCGGCATTTTAGTTGCCTCGTACGACACGCATGGCTTATGGAGGAAAGATTCTTTTCCACTTCCCCATGGACAATAGAAGAAATAAAGAAGAACAAGAGCTATTTAGAAAAAAGAGAAAATCTAGATGTATGTATATATATATATGCGTGTGTGTGTCTGTGAAGTGTGACCAAAGTGTAAGTAGGAGTAGCAAGATATCCCTGTTATCTAGCGTGTTTATGAGACAGAAAAAGAAACCAGCAATCCTACCATCATGCAAAACAGTTACAGGTTTCTGTTTCACAGTCATCTGGCAGGACGGCAGCACTTCCCTGGGTGGTTGCAGTTTAAAAACTGTAGTGTCAAGCACCCTTCTGGCAAGACAGTGATGGAGTGAATGATGGTGAAAGTTTTTCTTTTTCGGGCCACCCTGCCTTGGTGGGAATCGGCCAGTGTGCTAATAATAAAAAACCTTCAACAGTGAGAGCAAGTTTGTGAGCAAGGGTTTAGACAGTGAAAGGGTTAAGCTGCAATCAAATGCAAAATTCCCACTCATAGTGCAGGGTTAATAAGTGGAATTTATGAACCAACTCAGCCACATGTAGAGATAGCATGATATAAGATGATACATCTCGATTCCAACGGGCTGGCTATATCTAACAAGGTTAAATTTTTACAAGACAATAGATAGCATAAACATAATTAGAAACTACAGTAATAGTAGTTTCTGAAAAATAAGATCACCAGATATACCACCACCACATTACTGTCTCTGACTTTAACTGGTACAAGGTTATAGTTAATATATTAACTTTCTTTTGCAGCTATAAGCTATTAGCTATATGCATCCTAATCTTAAACTTAGAACAAAGAGCTCAGTACATTTCTATCTTCTTAGGACAAAATTTTACCTGATTCCATGAGCTCATACTGTACTATTTTTGCTACATCTCACCATTTATACAATATAAATTACATACATCTCTAAAACTCTTAACTTATGTGACTAGTTTCACTCTGCTTTCCTAAGTTTTTTTTCCTCCCTTAAATCTTCCCGAATGATGAAGTATACTTCTGCCAAGCCAACGACCACAGCAGAAATAGTAGCTGACAGTGCCCTAACACCATAATCAGAGGTGGCAAAACCCATGGCAACAAAGACAGCAAAGAAGGTACCAACAATGGACAAAAGATATTGAATTCCAGAAATTATTTGCTTATTAACACTTCTCAGTTCTTTGCCAATATCTCCAATATTAGTGCCATCTACGTAATGAGAAGGATCAATGGATTTTACCATATTATTGTACTCTCTGTTTTCCTGCTCAGACCTAAGTCTTTGAACTCTAGCCTCAAGTTCTGGATTTCTTTCAGGGGTATCATATTTTGGCAAAACTATTTCACTTTCTGATAACAATTCATGTACCCTTTCTGAGATCCCATGCTCCCTCATTTTTGTATGACACCATTTTATTTCTTGAGTGGTTAATTTAATTTTCCTTTCAGAACCATCTTCTTCACTTAAAAGTTTCTCCTTAATACTGTCAAGAAATCCAAATGAATTCTGGAGCTCTTGGAGAATCTGCACAAACCGCTTAGAAGGAATAATAGTAATATGATCCATGGCTGAATAATATAAATTTTTAAACTTAAAAATAATTCAGTCACTCAAATATAACCAGCACTCTTCTCAAGCTGCTGGAACTGTGCCCTCAAAGACTGCTCTTTCTCTTGATAACTATCTTGCAAAAGTCTTAACTTTTCTTGTACATCCTGTTGCACAGCTGTAAGTCTGGCACTTCTTTCGGCTCTCTTTTTTGCAAGCAGTTCTTCCTGGAAAAAACTGCCATTAATATTCTTTATACAATTATTTTAAACAGTTGCTATGTTTTTGAAGAGTGAATATTTTTTGCATTTACTTGTAATTTCCCTATTTGTAGTTACAAGAGGAAAGCTGTACCTGTGGTATCTCATTTCCATTACTTAGTCTTTCACTGGTTATAGAAACCTCCTGGATTCCATTTAATTAACTTCCTTTGTATGACAATTGTGGTATCTTGCTTATTTTGTTGTTATTGATAAGTGTACAGTACCACAAAGTATATGGTTATCTTCACTAATTTTTTTCTCTTCAATTAATACAAGGTATTTTAACATTTTTTCAATCTTCTTAACTGTCACTTCTCAACTCTAGGACCTATTTTGTAGCATGTCTTTCAACTTTTATTGGGGTTGGTGGGGCAGATAACATACTACTGCTGCATGTATATTCTAGTTTGTCTCCTGTTTGTTTTTATAGTATTTCACCATTCATATATCTTAAGAATACAGGAAAGCCTCAACTTACAAAAGAGTTGCAGTCCTGGTTTTTCAACTAACAAATGATCCATTTGTGTAGAAAATAATAATACAAAGGATAGTCACACTTACACATGGTTTTGTTGTAATACAGTGGAACCTCGATTTACAAGTGCCCAAACATACAAGTTTTTCGAGATACGAGCAGTCGCTTGGTCAATTTTTTGCTCTGGGTTACGAGTCAATATCCAAGTCATGAGCAGCTTCCCCCTCAACCCTCACACCTCGCTTGTGTTTGTCTATGATTTCATGCTTTAATTCCATGGACATCATCCTCTTTTTCTTCTCAGCACTGTCCTTTGCATTTACTTTCTTAGGACCCATGGTTACAAAAAAGAAATTTGGCAAAATAACTACACAAAATGCAAGCAAAACACGAGAGGAATGCTTCCACAGCGAGGTAAACTGAAGCTCGCTCGTTATTATTATTATTATTATTATAATATTATATTATTATTATTAATATTATTATTTATTATTATTATTATTATTATTATTATTATTATTACGTATTATTAAGGAACAGGAGCACAGATCCAATTCCTTAGAACAAGAGCCCCTGCACCTAGCTATCTAAGTTCTTAATTGATGCTGGTTAGTGGTCTGTGATCTAGGACGATTGAGTCTGTGCTCCAGTTCCAAAGTTAATTATATTAATAATTGTAATTCTAGGTAGTATGAGTTGGTAACAGATAACCTCTACCAGGGTACGTAACTACTGTCCAGCAAACAGTGGACGTTAACACGAAAGCACTATGTAATTGTTTTACATGTAGTAGGTTGCTAGTGTCATTTTTCTGTACTCATAAACATTGCTATGAAAATTTCAGTACTGGCCTTGCATACTACTTATGAACACATAGGTCACTACACATACATGTACAAGCATATATATATATATATATATATATATACACACCCCTCTGGGTTTTCTTCTATTTTCTTACTAAGTTCTTGTTCTTGTTTATTTCCTGTTATCTCCATGGGGAAGTGGAACAGAATTCTTCCTCCGTAAGCTATGCGTGTTGTAAGAAGCAACTAAAATGCCGGAAGCAAGGGGCTAGTAACCCCTTCTCCTGTATATATTACTAAATTTAAAAAGAGAAACTTTCGTTTTTCTTTTTGGGCCACCCTGCCTCGATGGGAAACAGCCGGTTTGTTGAAAAAAAAAATTATAATAATAATAATAATAATAACGATGAGCTTCAGAATGCCGCCAACTCAGTGCACTGTTTACCTCACCATGGAAGCATTTCTCTCGTGTTTTGCTTGCATTTTGTGTAGTTATTTTGCCAAATTTCTTTTTTCTAACCATGGGTCCTAAGAAAGAAAGTGCAAATGACAGTGCTGAGAAGAAAAAGAGGATGTCCATGGAATTAAAGCATGAAATCATAGACAAACACGAGCGAGGCGAGGTGTGTGGGTCATTTGCGAGGCAGTACTAGCATAGTACGTACTTCTACTATGCTGGTGCTGCCTCGCATTAAGAGTGTGGCAATTAAGGTCAGCGATAAAGTGTGGCATTAAGAGTACAGCAAGTAGCCTATCTTCCACCCTCCACCTCCGCCAGCGTATGTATACTTTATAAAACCAGTTTATTTCTTTACATTCTCTATTATGTTTTATTGGTTTTATGCAATATTTCTTATTTATAAATACAGTGGACCCCCGGTATTCGATGGCATCGGTATTCGATAAATCCAGTATTCGATGCATTATATCGCAAAAAATTTGCCTCGGTATTCGATTGAAAACCCGGTATTCAATACAATTCGTACGAGACGTGTCCACGTGTGGCCTGAACTGCCCCGCGTGTGCCAGTGTTTACAAGCCAGCCAGTGTGCATGCATCTAAGGATACATTTGGTACATTCCATATTATCACTGTGTTTGGTGCTTGATTCTGCAAAATAAGTCACCATGGGCCCCAAGAAAGCTTCTAGTGCCAACCCTTCGAGAAAAAAGGCACTAATGACTTACGAAATGAAGAAAGAGATAATTGCAAAATACGAAAGTGGAGTGCGTGTGTCGGAGCTGGTTAGGTTGTATAATAAACCCCAATCAACCATCTCTACTATAGTGACCAGGAAAACGGCAATCAAGGAAGCTGTTCTTGCAAAAGGTGCAACTGTGATTACGAAACAGCGACCGCAAGTGTTAGAAAATGTTGAGAGACTGTTATTGGTGTGGATAAATGAAAAACAGATAGCAGGAGATAGCATCTCTCAAGCGATCATTTGTGAAAAGGCTAGGCAGTTGCATGATGATTTGGTAAAGAAATTGCCTGCAACTAGTGCTGATGTGAGTGAATTTAAGGCCAGCAAAGGTTGGTTTGAAAGATTTAAGAATCGTAGTGGCATACATAGTGTGATTAGGCATGATGAGGCTGCCAGTTTGGACCAAAAAGCAGCTGAAAAATACGTGAAGGAATTCAAGGATTACATAGACAGTGAAGACTTGAAACCTGAACAAGTGTTTAATTGTGACGAAACAGGCCTGTTTTGGAAGAAAATGCCAAGCAGGACCTACATTACTCAGGAGGAAAGGCACTCCCAGGACATAAGCCTATGAAAGACAGGCTTACTCTTCTCATGTGTGCCAATGCTAGTGGTGATTGCAAAGTGAAGCCTTCATTGGTGTATCACTCTGAAACTCCCAGAGTGTTCAGGAAAAACAATGTCCTCAAGGCTAATTTGTGTGTGCTGTGGAGGGCAAACAGTAAGGCATGGGTCACTAGGACTTTTCTATGACTGGTTACACCAAGCATTGCCCCCACTGTGAAAAATTACCTAACTGTAAAAGAAATTAGACCTTAAGTGCCTCCTGGTATTAGACAATGCCCCTGGTCATCCTACAGACTTGGCAGAGCGACTTTCTGGGGACATGAGCTTCATTAAAGTCAAGTTTTTGCCTCCTAATACCACTCCTCTCCTGCAGCCCATAGACCAGCAGGTCATTTCCAACTTCAAGAAACTGTACACAAAAGCTAAGTTTCAAAAGTGCTTTATAGTGACCACAGAAACTCAACTGACTCTAAAAGAGTTTTGGAAGGATTACTTTAATATCCTCAATTGTATAAACCTTATAGGTACGGCTTGGGAGGGAGTGACTAAGAGGACCTTGAACTCTGCTTGGAAAAAACTGTGGCCAGGATGTGTAGACCAAAGGGATTTTGAAGGTTTGGGGCTAACTCTGAGAATCCTATGCCAGTTGAGGAATCCATTGTGGCATTGGGGAAGTCCTTGGGGTTGGAGGTTAGTGGGGAGGATGTGGAAGAGTTGATGGAGGAAGACAATGAAGAACTAACCACTGATGAGCTGATAGATCATCTTTAACAGCAAGAGGCCACACTTGAGGAAACTGCTTCGGAGGAGGGGATAGAGAAATTGAAGAAGTTGCCTACTTCAAAGATTAAGGAAATGTGTGAAATGTGGCTTAACCCTTTGACTGTTTTCGACGTATAAATACGTCTTACGAGCCAATGTTTCTGACGTATATATACTCAATAATTCTAGCGGCTTCAAATCAAGTGGGAGAAAGCTGGTAGGCCCACATGTGAGAGAATGGGTCTGTGTGGTCAGTGTGCACCACATAAAAAAAATCCTGCAGCACACATTGCGTAATGAGAAAAAAAAAACTCTGATCGTTTTTTTGGAATAAAACGCCGAATTTGAGGTGTATTTTCGTATAGTATTTATCGTTGTATTCGCGTTTTCATGGTCTTAGGTGATAAAATGGAAAACATATTACAGAAATAGAGATGATTTTCATTACTTTTACGATGAAAACGACCTTGAAACTAAGCTCAAAGTAGCGAAAATGTTCGATTTTTACCAATGTTGAAGAGTAAATAAATCACACCACACGTCCAATACACGTCAACTAGGGAGTCTAATATTCTTTCACTAGTGCACTGATATTATTTATACCATTTTTACAATAATGCAGTCGTCTGCATAACAGTAAATTTTGTATTTTTTTGTATGAATAAAAAATCAAAATAGAAAGCAATAATAATATAAGAGGGGCCTAGAGATGTGACTAATGAACCAAGCATATGTTATTTTAGTGCCACGAATGTCTACCTTGTTTATTCTGGACCCTATTTTGAAATTGGCATCTTTTTTATTTTGCGTGAAATTGGCCAAATTGCCAATTTCTGACCACCATATTGGGTAGTCCAAATTAGTAAATGGGAGGTTTCTTGTACTCAGCTGATAGATAAAATGGAGTTCTAAAGAAATAGCTATGAGTTTGGTCAACTGGAACAATGGAATTGGCTGAAAATTGGGCTCAAAGTCGGCGAAATCGCCGATACGCATATGTCGCCGAGACCGCTAACTTCGCGGGACCATAATTCCACGAGTTTTCGACCAAATTTCGAACTTCTGGTGTCATTACCATCGGGAAAAGATTCTCTATCATTTCATAAGAAAAAATAATTTTTTTTTTTTTCAAAAATTGAGCGACATAGAATGACAGTTTCAGAGAGGGGCCTGAAACAGTCAAAGGGTTAAAGTGCAAACCTTTTTTGATGACAATCACCCTAACACAGCTATTGCAAGCCGTGCTGGTGACTATTACACTGACAATGTTGTGAAACACTTTAGGAATGTCATAAAGGAACGGGAGGTACAGGCCACTATGCACAGATATGTTGTGCGACAGAAATCCAGTGACTCTCAAACTGGTCCTAGTGGCATTAAAAGAAGAAGGGAAGTAACCCCGGAAAAGGACTTGCTACCTCAAGTCCTAATGGAAGGGGATTCCCCTTCTAAACACTAACACCTCTCCCCTCCTCCCATCCCATCAATCATCACCAGATCTTCATTAAAGGTAAGTGTAAATTATTTTATTGTTATTGTAATTACTCTATTGCATTAAACTTAATATTTCATGAAGTAAAATTTTTTTTTTCATACTTTTGGGTGTCTTGCACGGATTAATTTGATTTCCATTATTTCTTATGAGGAAAATTGATTCGGTTTTCGATATGTTCGGTATTCGATGAGCTCTCAGGAACGGATTAATATCGAATACCGGGGGTCCACTGTACATTGTTTCAGTGTTTTCCTTATGAAACTAGTGATCTAGTGCAGTTAGCCTCACAAACACTCTGTTTTCAGAAGGGGAAGAATGGGAAGACATGGTTAGTGTGGCAACGGCAATGGCCGTCACCACTCATCACATAATGACATATTTTATTCATTCCAGAGTATATATCATGTTTCCATGTTATTTATATTGTTTATTATGTCATATTAGATCAATTATGATGGATAAATAAGCCATATAGTTTATATTAGTGTTATATTGAAGTACATATTTTGTCCTGCTTCCCGAGAGCAGGAATTCCACTGGAATGGATTAATGGCATTTCAATTAATTTAAATGAGGAAAACTGATCTGACATACGAGCAAACTGAGTTACGAGCTAGGTCATGCAATGGACTTAAATCGTAAGTCGAGGTTCCACTGTATATCCAAAGTACCCAGTACTTTGAATTCATGTATAGTCACACAACTAATACTAACGAATTCAAAGTTGTATTTTTTCCCACTATATTTAATTAATCCATGCTCTGTGATGGAGAAAAAATATTTCTACTCACACAATTAAATTTGCTTTCAGTATCCAGGGTATCTTCACACATGTGCAATGCTACCTGCACATCTGCAATCGTGCGAGGAAGGTTGTCATCTGATGAGTTCACAATCTTTTCAATCTGCAAAACAAATGTTAACAGACAAAATCTGGAATTATGGATTTTTTTCCATTTTATCTGATGCTTCTAACATTTACCCAGCCAATTTTTTGTCCAAAACTGAAATTGTTAAAATCCATTAAAGAGGTTTTACTGTATAATGACATGCCCATGCACTCTGCCCCAGGCCCAGACTCATGGAACTCTGTGTTCATCAAGAATTGCAAGAAGCCCCTATCGCATGCCTTCAGCATTTTATGGAGAGGGAGCATGGACACAGGGGTCATCCCACACACACTAAAATCAACATAGCCCCACTCCACAAAGGTGGCAGCAAAGCAATTGCAAAGAACTACAGACTGATAGCACTAACATCCCATATCATAAAAATCTTTGAGAGGGCTCTAAGAAGCAAGATAGCCAACCACCTAGATACCCATCAATTACACAACCCAGGGCAACACGGGTTTAGAACAGGTCGCTCCTGCCTGTCCCAGCTACTGGACCACTATGACAAGGTCCTGGATGCTGTAGAGGATAAACAAAATACAGACGTAGTATACACAGACTTTGCAAAAGCTTTTGACAAGTTTGACCATGGTGTAATACCACACAAAATGTGGGATAAAGGAATAACGGGAAAAGTTGGTAGATGGATCTACAACTTCCTGACAAATAGAACACAACGAGTAATAGTAAACAGAGTAAAGTCCCAGGCAGCCACAGTAAAAAGCTCTGTTCCACAAGGCACAGTACTCGCTCCGGTTCTATTCCTCATCCTCATTTCTGACATAGACAGAGATGTAAGCCATAGCTCCATGTCTTCCTTTGCAGATGACACCTGGATCACCATGGCAGTGACCTCCATCGAAGACACTGCGAGACTCCAAGCGGACATCAACCAAATCTTCGAATGGGCCACTCAAAACAATATGAAGTTCATCGAGGAGAAATTTCAACTAATCAGATGTGGAAAACTTGAAGAAATTAAAACTGTGTCAGGGTATACCACAAATTCTAACCGTACAACAGAGCGCAAAAGTAATGTGAAGGACCTGGGAGTGATAATGTCAGAGGATCTCACCTTCAAAGACCACAACACTGTATCTACTTCATCCACTAGGAAAATGAAAGGATGAATAATGAGAACCTTCAAAACTAGGGACACCAAGCCCATGATGATTCTCTTCAAATCGCTTGTGCTCTCTAGGCTGGAATACTGCTGTACACTAATGGCCCCCCTCAAGGCTGGCAACATTGCAGACCTGGAGAGTGTACAAAGAACTTTCACGGCACACATAAGTGGGATAAAGCACCTAAACTACTGGGAACGGTTGAAGGTCCTTGATCTGTATTCCCTCGAACGCAGGCAAGACAGATACATGATAATATACACTTGGAAGGTCCTGGAGGGATTGGTACCAAACCTGGTAGACAGCAACCACCCAGGGAAGTACTACCGTCCTGCCAGATGACTGTGAAACAAAAACCTGTAATTGTTTTGCATGATGGTAGGATTGCTGGTTTCTTTTTCTGTCTCATAAACACGCTAAGATAACAGGGATATCTTGCTACTCCTACTTACACTTTGGTCACACTTCACAGACACGCACATGCATATATATATATACATACATCTAGGTTTTTCTCCTTTTTCTAAATAGCTCTTGTTCTTTTTTATTTCTTCTATTGTCCATGGGGAAGTGGAAAAGAATCTTTCCTCCGTAAGCCATGCGTGTCGTATGAGGCGACTAAAATGCCGGGAGCAATGGGCTAGTAACCCCTTCTCCTGTATACAATTACTAAAAAAGAGAAGAAGAAAAACTTTATAAAACTGGTTGCTTAAATGTGCGTGGATGTAGTGCGGATGACAAGAAACAGATGATTGCTGATGTTATGAATGAAAAGAAGTTGGATGTCCTGGCCCTAAGCGAAACAAAGCTGAAGGGGGTAGGAGAGTTTCAGTGGGGGGAAATAAATGGGATTAAATCTGGAGTATCTGAGAGAGTTAGAGCAAAGGAAGGGGTAGCAGTAATGTTAAATGATCAGTTATGGAAGGAGAAAAGAGAATATGAATGTGTAAATTCAAGAATTATGTGGATTAAAGTAAAGGTTGGATGCGAGAAGTGGGTCATAATAAGCGTGTATGCACCTGGAGAAGAGAGGAATGCAGAGGAGAGAGAGAGATTTTGGGAGATGTTAAGTGAATGTATAGGAGCCTTTGAACCAAGTGAGAGAGTAATTGTGGTAGGGACTTGAATGCTAAAGTAGGAGAAACTTTTAGAGAGGGTGTGGTAGGTAAGTTTGGGGTGCCAGGTGTAAATGATAATGGGAGCCCTTTGATTGAACTTTGTATAGAAAGGGGTTTAGTTATAGGTAATACATATTTTAAGAAAAAGAGGATAAATAAGTATACACGATATGATGTAGGGCGAAATGACAGTAGTTTGTTGGATTATGTATTGGTAGATAAAAGACTGTTGAGTAGACTTCAGGATGTACATGTTTATAGAGGGGCCACAGATATATCAGATCACTTTCTAGTTGTAGCTACACTGAGAGTAAAGGTAGATGGGATACAAGGAGAATAGAAGCATCAGGAAGAGAGAGGTGAAGGTTTATAAACTAAAAGAGGAGGCAGTTAGGGTAAGATATAAACAGCTATTGGAGGATAGATGGGCTAATGAGAGCATAGGCAATGGGGTCGAAGAGGTATGGGGTAGGTTTAAAAATGTAGTGTTAGAGTGTTCAGCAGAAGTTTGTGGTTACAGGAAAGTGGGTGCAGGAGGGAAGAGGAGCGATTGGTGGAATGATGATGTAAAGAGAGTAGTAAGGGAGAAAAAGTTAGCATATGAGAAGTTTTTACAAAGTAGAAGTGATGCAAGGAGGGAAGAGTATATGGAGAAAAAGAGAGAGTTAAGAGAGTGGTGAAGCAATGTAAAAAGAGAGCAAATGAGAGAGTGGGTGAGATGTTATCAACAAATTTTGTTGAAAATAAGAAAAAGTTTTGGAGTGAGATTAACAAGTTAAGAAAGCCTAGAGAACAAATGGATTTGTCAGTTAAAAAAAAGGAGAGGAGAGTTATTAAATGGAGAGTTAGAGGTATTGGGAAGATGGAGGGAATATTTTGAGGAATTGTTAAATGTTGATGAAGATAGGGAAGCTGTGATTTCGTGTATAGGGCAAGGAGGAATAACATCTTGTAGGAGTGAGGAAGAGCCAGTTGTGAGTGTGGGGGAAGTTCGTGAGGCAGTAGGTAAAATGAAAGGGGGTAAGGCAGCCGGGATTGATGGGATAAAGATAGAAATGTTAAAAGCAGGTGGGGATATAGTTTTGGAGTGGTTGGTGCAATTGTTTAATAAATGTATGGAAGAGGGTAAGGTACCTAGGGATTGGCAGAGAGCATGCATAGTTCCTTTGTATAAAGGCAAAGGGGATAAAAGAGAGTGCAAAAATTATAGGGGGATAAGTCTGTTGAGTGTACCTGGTAAAGTGTATGGTAGAGTTATAATTGAAAGAATTAAGAGTAAGACGGAGAATAGGATAGCAGATGAACAAGGAGGCTTTAGGAAAGGTAGGGGGTGTGTGGACCAGGTGTTTACAGTGAAACATATAAGTGAACAGTATTTAGATAAGGCTAAAGAGGTCTTTGTGGCATTTATGGATTTGGAAAAGGCGTATGACAGGGTGGATAGGGGGGGCAATGTGGCAGATGTTGCAAGTGTATGGTGTAGGAGGTAGGTTACTGAAAGCAGTGAAGAGTTTTTACGAGGATAGTGAGGCTCAAGTTAGAGTATGTAGGAAAGAGGGAAATTTTTTCCCAGTAAAAGTAGGCCTTAGACAAGGATGTGTGATGTCACCGTGGTTGTTTAATATATTTATAGATGGGGTTGTAAGAGAAGTAAATGCGAGGGTCTTGGCAAGAGGCGTGGAGTTAAAAGATAAAGAATCACACACAAAGTGGGAGTTGTCACAGCTGCTCTTTGCTGATGACACTGTGCTCTTGGGAGATTCTGAAGAGAAGTTGCAGAGATTGGTGGATGAATTTGGTAGGGTGTGCAAAAGAAGAAAATTAAAGGTGAATACAGGAAAGAGTAAGGTTATGAGGATAACAAAAAGATTAGGTGATGAAAGATTGAATATCAGATTGGAGGGAGAGAGTATGGAGGAGGTGAACGTATTCAGATATTTGGGAGTGGACGTGTCAGCGGATGGGTCTATGAAAGATGAGGTGAATCATAGAATTGATGAGGGAAAAAGAGTGAGTGGTGCACTTAGGAGTCTGTGGAGACAAAGAACTTTGTCCTTGGAGCAAAGAGGGGAATGTATGAGAGTATAGTTTTACCAACGCTCTTATATGGGTGTGAAGCGTGGGTGATGAATGTTGCAGCGAGGAGAAGGCTGGAGGCAGTGGAGATGTCATGTCTGAGGGCAATGTGTGGTGTGAATATAATGCAGAGAATTCGTAGTTTGGAAGTTAGGAGGAGGTGCGGGATTACCAAAACTGTTGTCCAGAGGGCTGAGGAAGGGTTGTTGAGGTGGTTCGGACATGTAGAGAGAATGGAGCGAAACAGAATGACTTCAAGAGTGTATCAGTCTGTAGTGGAAGGAAGGCGGGGTAGGGGTCGGCCTAGGAAGGGTTGGAGGGAGGGGGTAAAGGAGGTTTTGTGTGCGAGGGGCTTGGACTTCCAGCAGGCATGCGTGAGCGTGTTTGATAGGAGTGAATGGAGACAAATGGTTTTTAATACTTGACGTGCTGTTGGAGTGTGAGCAAAGTAACATTTATGAAGGGATTCAGGGAAACCGGCAGGCCGGACTTGAGTCCTGGAGATGGGAAGTACAGTGCCTGCACTCTGAAGGAGGGGTGTTAATGTTGCAGTTTAAAAACTGTAGTGTAAAGCACCCTTCTGGCAAGACAGTGATGGAGTGAATGATGGTGAAAGTTTTTCTTTTTCGGGCCACCCTGCCTTGGTGGGAATCGGCCGGTGTGATAATAAAAAAAAAAAAAAAAAAAAAAAAAAAAAAAAAAAAAAAAAAAAAAAAAAATAATACCATATGAAAACAAAAGACTCTGCAGGAGATGCAACATTCTCCCAATGAAAACCAGGGGTGCCACAAGTACAGTGAGAGACAACACAGTAAGTGTCCAGGGCCCAAGACTGTTCAATTGCCTCCCAGCATACATAAGGGGGATTACCAAAAGACCCCTGTCTGTCTTCAAGAAGGCACTGGACAGGCACCTAAAGTCAGTACCTGACCAACCGGGCTGTGATTCGTATGTCAGCCTGTGTGCAGCCAGCAGTAACAGCCTGGTTGATCAGACCCTGATTCACCATGAAGCCTGGTCTCAGACCGGGCCGCGGGGGCGTTGACCCCTGAAACCCTCTCCAGGTAAACTCCAGGTATACAGTAGTCACCCCGTATCCATAGGGGATGTGTTCTAAGACCAACCGTGGATACGCGAAACCTTAGATAGTGACGAACATTATACATGAAGTTGTTTTTCATTTACTAACATACCTATGATAAAGTTTAATTGATAAATTAGCACTTCACTGATGGGAAGCGCTTCACGGCTTCTCTTAGGCTTTGAAGAACTGCCATCATCACTACTTTTGTGCTTTGGTATCATTATTAAGTAAAATTAAGGGTTATTTTGGGGCCACAGTAAACTGTGGATAAATGAAACTGCGGAAACTGTATCTGTGGATATGGGGGTTCTACTGTATATAGTACATACAGGTCGATATGTTTTTGTACTAAATAAAATCTTTTCCAATAATGTTAGTTCCCATGACTACACATCTCTTATTCCATGTAAAAGACTCCAGAAAAGATATTTTGCTTGTTAAACACCCATGGTAATATAATATATTGTATATTAAAACTTACCTGACCTTCTTTAATTTCGGTTATGAGTTCCAATGAGCGGAAAAGCTGTTCAACTTCCCTATCTCCACGTTTCTCCTGGAAAGATCCATTATTCTTTGTTACTTTTTTCATACATTTGTTTCTTATCACATTTAACACAAAAATAAATGCAACAATTATACATACTGAATGCTAAGTGGTGTACTGTACTGTAACTATAATAAGCAATCTGTCTCATTACTTACAGTACGTTACATCAAATAAGTCCAGAGTAAAATAGCTGCCATCTCATTTAAAAGGAAGCTCACTACTGGCTTTCATGCAAGCTTAATTATTATTACAATTATTGGATAGTGCTAAACTGTAAGAGTCTTGCAGCATCTCAAGAATGGCAGTAATCTGGTCTAATCTGAGAGAGGAAGAAAGTACTGTAGTTGCAATATTCCTTGGAACAAGAGATCTTTACAGGCATCTCTTTACTGGCACTCTCTTGCAGAGCATGCAAGCCAGAGATGTTAAATGAGGATGATTATGCATCTTGCATAATCATCCTTATTTTCAAGTTTCACTGTTTACCAAGAAAAGTTTATTTCATCTTAAAAACTTATTATATAATTGCTGTTTATGACGGCGTATAAGTCGACCCCTAAAATTATGAGATGATAATTCAGGCTGAGGCCTATATCAGCCTGACAGGTCGATCCCCATATCACAATTTCCACAACTTAATCTTTCATTTTATATTATCTTTGTTATGGTAAATACAGTCTTAAATTATCGAGTTAAAATTTTTGTCATATGACTGTTGTAAATGTAGTGTGCAACTGACCACCACAGCAAAACTGTTTGAAACACAACATCTCTATCTATGGAAAGCCTGACAGTGTGTCAGATCCACCGTCTTGGATAGTTGTTGTCCAGTTTGTGTTTACATTTGTGACAAAACAGACTTCATACTCATCTTTTAAGCATTATTTTTAATAAAATGTCACATTCTTGTTAAAAATGTGTCTGAGCACTAAAACAAAAAGGTAAGCAGTAGCAAATAAAACTTCCAACTGTAGCATAAGTTACAGTACTAGTATGATACCATCAGTAGGCTAGTGGTGTCACTTCCCTTCTTCGGTAATGTGCTGTAGCCTTCTTTTTACCTTTGCCCTGTATCAGAAAATTTTATACTTGGCGTATTAATCGCTCATAGTTATGGAGGTTTTATTTTTAATGCATAAAAAAGTCGACTTAATCGCAGGCATATACAGTACATAATTATTAAAGTTTGCCTGGGGTATAGGATCTAATTGGGTTTGCTCTGAGGAAAGTGAGAGGAGGGGGTAGCTCCAAGGGTAGCTACAATTCTTTGTATTAAGTGCCTTTCACCAGAATTAAGGCACCCTCCTTGAAAATTAAGAACATCTGAAAAAATAATTATCACACAATGCATGAAAACCACTTTATTACATGAACAGGCAGAGATGCTATATTAAGACTTGCTCTATTTGCCTCCACAAAACTCCAGAGACAAAAAAAAAAAAATACTATAACAATAGTATGAATGAATAATAGAAATTAAGGTTGGCAGTGTTGGTACTGGTGTTAGTCATTTTCAAATGACAAGGCTGATTCACCTGATTTGCAAACTAATTTAATCTCACCTCAAATTCCTTCTTAAAAAATTCAATTTCTCCTCGCAAAAATGGTCGATGATCAAACAGTCTAGAAAAAACCTCATTCACATCTGAAAATGAAAATAAAATTTAACAATTTGCTTTGCTTGGGTAGAAATCTACTTTGAAATTCAGGCAATAATCAAAATATTTTCTATCATCTTTACCCTAAAAAAGAATAGAAAAACATTTAAGGCAATATTAATATAATGTATATGTTAAATGCAACAACACTGCATGGGTGGTTATTGTTTTGCACCGGTATCTTCCCTGCTTCCTGTGTAGAAATGCTGTCTGACAAGCATGTTATGAAGCTTATTTGCACAATGTATGGGGAGCTTGAATTCCTTCTCATTTATATTAAACCTTAGGTATTCATGGAATCTGGCTGTACAGATATAATACTGTATTTTTTACTGGGACAATATACTGTAGCATAAAGCAAATAATCAGAGTACACACAAGTCAAAATATTGATATTGAACAGTGTATAAAGGAAATACATTTTATTTCATATCAGGAAGTCCTGTACCACTTTTAGTGTTAACTGGGAACCCCTCATTCTTGGTGAATAAAAAATCTGGTGATTTCTTCCTGGAGTATTTTCTTACCCTATCATATAATACAGAAATGTAAATAATGTACAGGTGTATTTCACTTATTTTTAAATGAAATGTGATCAGTTCAAGAAGAAGAAATATTAGGAAGGTAACACCTGTTGATCAAAGCACATCTGCAGGGTCTAAGGTGGTATGTACTATTTGTAATTTTTGACTTTTGAGGTATCTTTATTACATAAACCAAATAAATACCAAGGGTTTAATGTAAGTGAAACCAATGCTAAGGTAGTAGGATGGAAGACAGTAACCACCCAGGAAGATATTATAATACTTCTTATGAGTGCCAGACAGGAGCCTATTAAATTATTATTATTATAATCAAGGGGGAAGCGCTAAACCCAGAGGATTATACAGCGCCTGGGGGGGGGGATGTGGAAGGCATTCAGGCTTAATTCGGGGAACTGGAGCACAGATCCAATTCCCTAAATCAAGAGCCCCTCACCAACATCAAGGAACCTTCCTTGAGGGGGGTGGAGCCTATTAAAGCACTGCACTCTGACAGGATTGCTGGTATACTATTTTCTGTCTCTCATTAACACATAAGATGGCAAGTAAATCATAAAAATTCCTTCTAATATTCATTACATACTTAAAAATATCTATTACAAAGCTGGGAAATTAAGATAAGTCCTGATCTGAAACCAGGCTGCATCGGCAGTGATCCCCAAAACCATCAACAGATAAGTTATCAGCTAAGATAAAAAAAAAAAGATACAGCATGTGGACTCATCAGTTAAGAGTGAAAATTGTGTGATACTGGATATAGAGGCAATGATGTCAAGAGATAGGGAAAAAATTTTGAGAAGTTGCTTGGAGGAAGGAAAGGCAGGAGTGAGTATGGAAGAAGTAGGCAAGTAGGCAATGAGAACAGCAATGAGGAATACACAAGATTAAGCTTGAGCTGCTGAAAGCCAGCGGGAATAAAGGTTTTGAAATGGTTTATGGATTTGCTTAATGTATGTAAGAAGGGAAGGTGACAGAGGACATTCACAGTTTTTTAAGGGAAAAATGGAAGGAGAGAGAGATGGGGCAAAAATCTTAGGATAATATGTTTGATGAGTATTCAAGGTAGTGTATGGCAAAATTGTCTTCAAAAACAGAATTATAGGAAACAAACTTTCACTGCAGAGTAACAAGGTAGATTCAGGAAGGGGTACTAATGTGTCATTTATTTGCATTGAAGTATATACGAGTGGAACTTTGATGAGAAAAAGAAATGTTCATACTTTTAGGGAATTAGAAAAGGCATATGATAAGATAGATAAGGAAGCTATGTGGCTAGTACTGCAAATGTAAGGAATAGGTGAAAATCTATTGAAAGCTGTAAAGAATACTAACTCTGGTGATATGAAACTTCGTGAGGTGGAAAACAAATAGGCTCTGGGAAATTATTGCTAGCTAACATTTAAAAAAATTGAAAATCAGATAACATATCCTATGGAAGGCAAATCAGATTCTGGCTATGTTTAGCTATGTTTAAAAGCTCATTTTTTAATATTAGGTGAGCTTATAAAACATATGCAAAACCTACGTAAGACCTCATCTTGAATTCGCTGTACAGGCCTGCTCCCCATACCTGAAGAAAGACATTGATATGTTAGAGTTTAAATAATGGCTATGAAATTTGTACCAAAATTGTTATATCTAGTAATCTATAAAAAGAAACTTAAGTTACTCTGAAAGCACCAGTAACCTATGAAAAAGAAATGAAGAAGCTAATCTGACAGTATTAGTAACCTATAAAGGCAAAAAAATGAAGCAGCTTAATTAACAGCACTTGAAGAATGGAGGCCCTTGAAACTCTCAACATAATTAAACACAATAAATAAAGATATTGCAAAGTTCTTCAAAACCAATCTATATATAATCTTGAGGAAATATTAACAAACTAAATTAAAAGCAGAAATCTAAACATTTAAGATTTATTCTTCCAGAGGTTGAGGAATAAAACAAACTCACAAGAAAATGTAAACACTGTTATTAATTTATCTTACAAAAAACTGTCAGCCAATAAAAAAACATTTTCTTTCATTACTTCTGTCAATATTTATTATTCTAGGTTAGGTTGGGTTCAGTGATGAAAGATAATGGGGTGGTCCAGGTGCACAATGGTGGTGGTTGGTGGTAAGTCTGCAACCAGCAATCCACCGCTGCCGGATTGTGTAACACTTATATTATTATTATTGATATGAATGGCTAATATGTCAATAAATAACAATTTCTACAATGGATAAATGTTTCCTGCAAAAACACATCAATTTCAGATAATTTCACTCTTGAAATACTACTGTACTCCAATACCAGAGTTGGAGCAGGGAAAATAGTATATATCAGTATTCACTAAGCAAACTGAAAACAAATGAATGTCATATGTCTGGGAATACAAGTCAACCTAATATCAGCATAGGCACCTGGGTATCAGGTGACTTGTGTGAGTTGCATATAGTAGGGAAGAGAATTAAAGGACCCCATTGGAAATAAGACATAAGTAAGATACATGTGCAACAGTTTGGTATATTTACTGTTGTAACATTTTAACTACACAGTAGACTTCTTCAGTGAACTAAAGAGGTGGTTAATTATGGAGACAGCAGAAGTAGGAACGAGGTAAAAATTATATCAGTCCATTATCTTTGAAGTATTAGTTATTGAGGTGGTCAGTCCCTCAGCCTGGAGAACAGTTCAGATTGTTCCAGATTATGGAATTGAACTCTTCTCCAGACTGAGGAACTGGCGACCTTAAGAGCTACTTCAAAGTTGATGGGCTGATCACATCATCTTTACCTCACCACTACCTCTGCTGTTAAAATATCTAGCCTCCTCTGTATTTAACTGAAGAAGCCTACTGTGTAGGCAAAAATGTTCCAACAATTAATATAACAAACTGTTACATGTCTTACTTATTTGCTTGATGGTACTGTATACTACTTTCATGGAAATAAATCTGATGAAATCCTGACTTTATTGCGTTATCCTGGGTTACTAACTTTGTGATTTAATATCTGAACAAAATCTTTTAAGTAAAATGCCAAGCATATATTAATGTGTATTTGTAAATGTACATGTGTATAATTGAGTGACTATCATTTCACAGTACGAAAATAATCAGGTGTTTGGTGTTCTAATCATATTTTAAAGTAGGAAAATAAGAGAAAACCAACATCCCTACAAAAGACAGCATCGTTATATACAGACGTCATAATAAAAAAAATACTACAGTCAAGGAACAAGTTCATGAATATTATATTAAAGATCCCACAACCTGTGGGTTGTCCGTGAGCAAATGTTTATCTCAGTACTGTCCACCAATCAATAATTACCCTCACCTGCACTTAAGTAACCTATTATTGCTACCCCATCACATAGGTGAACTTAAATATTGACTGCTTCTTATTATTAAGTTAATATTATAAAACAGCCTCCACTCACCACTGGCTGCCGCTGCCATATTGTTTACATCAGCCAACATCACACTGTTCGTTTCTAATGAAGTGACTTGCTTTCAAATAAATATCTTACATAAGTAAAATAAACCTTCTTTGTCCTCACGTTTTGCTAAGAATAAAATCGTAACATTAAATATAAAATATTCCATGCTAACAGTGTACTTAATTTATAGCTATTATTTAAGTTAGACTAATAGTTAATAGCACAGTGTTCGGAGGAAATATCTTGTCATGTGACATAGTTGGGCTTAAAGTCCATTCAATAGTGACTCAAGAGAGTATTAATACAACAACAACAACAACAACAACAACAACAACAATAACAACAACAACAACAGCAACAGCAACAGCAACAGCAACAACAACAACAACAACAACAACACAACAACAACAACAAACAACAACAACAACAACAACAACAAACAACAATAATAATAATAATAATAATAATAATAATAATAATAATATCTTTATTTACTAAATGGATGAACAATAGATTAAAACATCTCATTGGTCAAAAGAGAGGCATATATAGGCAAATCAAAAGAGGAGAGGGGCAATTAAGAAATCAGTATATTCAGTTAAAGAGAAATAAAAAAGGGAATAAGAAAAGTAAAAAGAGATTATGAGGTCAAAGTTACAAGAGAATCGAAGACTAACCCAAAAGGGTTCTTTCAGATATACAGAAGTAAGATCAGGGATAAGATAAGAACATAAGAACATAACAAAGGAGGAACACTGCAGGAGGCCTGTTGGCCCATACTAGGCAGGTCCTTTATAATTCATCCCACTAACAAAACATTTGCCCAACCCAATTTTCAATGCCACCCAAGAAATAAGCTCTGATGTGAAAGTCCCACTCAAATCCAACCCCTCCCACTCATGTACTTATACAACCTAAATTTGAAACTACCCAAAGTCCAAGCCTCAATAACCCAACTAGGTAGACTGTTCCACTCATCAACTACCCTATTTCCAAACCAATACTTTCCAATGTCCTTTCTAAATCTAAACTTATCTAATTTAAATCCATTACTGCGGGTTCTCTCTTGGAGAGACACCCTCAAGACCTTTTTAATATCCCCTTTATTAATCCCTATCTTCATTTACACTTCAAATCGGGTTTCCCCTCTTTTTCGTTAAAAGTGAATGAATTGAAAGAAAAAGGGGACAAAAGTGAAAACTAATGTACATTTATTGTGAACTTTCGCTCTCCGGGAGTTTAAAAACCCATTACAACAATACTGGACACAGGGGGTTTAATAAAGGTCAGGGGGGTGAATACTGGGGTACCATTCGATTTTCCTAGTGGTTATATAGTAGAGTGGAGGGGGAAAAAAGAAATTTAAATCGTACTGGTAAAAGGTAAAAAAAGTATATTTGGGTAACATAAAAATGGTTAAAAAATATAAACTGAATGAGGCAGGTTTTTTCAGTGTTCCTCTCTGTGCTTTGTGTTTTATAAAGGAAGACATGTGATGGAGGTTTTTATGTTTTCAGGAGGATTTTGCTAAGACTTCGGAGATGGTGAAGCTGGTTGTTTTTTTTAATTGTATTCGAAACAGCGACAGTGCTGATTAAAGGGCATTTGCGGGGCGGAAATTATTTTCTTTTATCAAATTGGCGTCTCTGAATTTCATAAGATGATTGGGGGAATTTTGGGTGTTGTACAGGGGGTTTTTTAAATTTGTCTTTCCCTACATGCGTATATGTGTTCTTTGAGGGGGGTCGGGGTTTCTTGCTGTTTCACCTACTAGTTTTGTCAAGCCTCCACAGGGTATAGTGTCAATGCGGGGTTTTAACTATCCCCCTGTGGGGCTGTGAAAAGATTCTTTGGGGTGAAACAGCAAAAAACCCTCGACACCCGCCTCAATGAACACATATACGCTGTAGGAACACAACTTAAACAACGCCTTGTACAACCCCAAAATTCCAAATCATTATAAATTCGAGCGCCCAATTAGTGATAAAAAAAAAACTAATTTCCGCACACGAAAGTCCCTTGAATCAGACTGATCGCTGTTTCGAATACAATTAAAAAAAAACAAGGGGTGTTGGGTGGAAGCGCATTCTTGGGGTTTGGTGACTCTCAGGTAAGTATATTGACCTGCTTTTTGTAAAGGAAAAAGAAAATGAAGATAGAGTGTGCTTCCCGGGAGTGGTGTTGGGGACAGTCAACGGGCTGGATAATATATGTCGGTAATGGGAAAAACCCCCATTATCTGTCTCAGTGCTGGTGGAATGATTGGGAAGGGTAGGAGAGAAGAGCTGCTAGTAAGTACGGTCAGCATGATTTTCATTAAGTCTAAGGGGGGGACCCCCAATCAATGTAGCATCTTGCCTAGAAGGGGAGTGGGAAATGAAGGGTTGTCTAGGGCAATTGGTGAAATTTTGCTGGTAGACAGAAAATGAAGGAATTGAACCCCATTCATTGAAAAATGGAACAACTTTATGGCAAAATGATTGTATGCAAGGGATGGGGAAACATTCTTGGGGCAGGGGGGGGTAGCATTTGCAGACCGTTTGAGAAGGGGCATTGGTGAAATGCCTATGTTTTTAAAACTGAGGAAGATAGGGTATGGGTGTGTGTGGGAAACAAGAGGTTGCAAATGGGGTTTGGGAAAAACAGAAAAATGTATAAAAGGCATTCAGCATGAAGTTATAAATAAAGAAAATAGAAAGGTCAGCTAAAAAGGGGGGGGGCAGCAGAGGGCAGCAAGGGATGCCCCCTTAAAGGTTTTACTATACTAATAGCGGGTGTTAGAAATAAGAAGGAGGCAAGATTAATTGCAAGTGCAGGAAACATGATATTTTTGCTAAAACAAAGGCCCCTGGCTCAATTGAAAAGAAGAGAGATGCCTCAAATGTCAATACAAGGCTAAAAATTTATTCCACACGACAGGCCAACGGGAAAGGTGGTGGGTAGCGATGTATGCAGAGAAAATTTAAAAAATTTTTGTGTAAGACAAATATTAAATTAGAAGCGTCACCCACTAAATCTGTTTGGTTAAGCTTCTCGAGGGCCGAGAAAAACTATTTGGGTTGATTTACGGGGCCCCAAATCTTGATAGGGATTTCAGAAATTCTATGGGACGAAATTGTAAGGAAATTTACATACGAAAATGTTGTGCAATGGGATTTCAATTAAAAAGACGATTCTGGAGCAATTTGACGGGAATTTTTAGAGTCGGTGACTTTTTTGATACGATCCGGATTGTTTTTTAAAACGTTTGTGACAGAGCAATAGGGGAAAAACCCCTTTACTTGGTTCTTGCCAGTAGGGAAAAACTAATTAAAAACTTTTGTTAATGATGAGGGTTGGGGAGAGTGATACAAATCCTCAGTTTTAATATTCAGGAATTCCCTAATAATGGCAATAAGTCTCCGTCCCCGACTTTTGCTTTGGTGATTTTATAGGATGAAAAATTTCTTAGGGGGGCTGAAAGGAATGACTGACTAAGGGTCAGGTAGGGGGGGTGATGGGGTTGCCGTTGATGCTTTCCCGGCCCTAGTTCTAGTGCTCGCCAAATTATGTTCCCAAAAAGGGGAAACAATCAAAAAAAAATGATCCTAAATGGTGAACAATAGAATTTAAAAAATCTGATTGGTCAAAAGAGAGGATATATAGGGAAATCAAAAGAGGAGGGGCCAATTAAGAAATCGATATATTCAGTTAAAGAGAAAAAAAAAAGGGAATTAGAAAAGGAAAAGGATTATGAGGGTTTAAAATTTCAAGAGAATCGAAAACCTAACCCAAAAGGGTTCTTTAGGTATACGAAGTAAGATCAGGGGGCAAGAAAAGGGCCCCCCCCAAAAATTCCTCGGGTCAGCTCACTGACAGTGATAAGGAAAGTGAGAATTTTTTAACACATATTCCCTCAGTTTTTTTCACAGGGGGTACCCGGATATACCAGTAAAGTAAATTTTGTAGAAAAAGGACGTAATAAAAATGTGCACTATTAGGGGCACAAGTGCAGGTCCTTAGGCAAATAGAAAATTTAAACCTAAAAAAATCCCCCGGGCCCCGATGAATGTAGCAAGGGTTTTTAAAAGGAAAGTAAAGAGGGCTTAGCACACCTTTGGGTAAACTTTCAACTATCACTACAAACTGGGATGGTGCCCAAAAGGGAAAATGGCAAAATTATACCATTTTTAAAAAAAGGGGGACAGGTCCTTGCTTCGAAAATATAACCCAAAAAGCCTAACCTCCATAGTGGGAAAATTTATGGAATCAATAATTGCCGAGGCGGTCCCCAAAAGCAAAATTAAACAACGAATCTCAGCTGGTTTTACAAAAGGGGGGTTCCGCTTTTCGAATTTATTAAACTTTTTTCCTAAGGTATTTGAGGAGGGAGATCATGGTAATGAATATGATATTGTGTATATGGACTTCAGTAAGGCTTTTGACAGGGCCCAATCAGGACAATGAGGAAAATTAAAGACATGGGAAAAGGAGGAGAAATTTTTTTTTGGTAGAGGCATGGTTACAAATGGCGCAGAGATTTGCTAAATGGGAAAAATCGGGGGGGAAGCGTCCGAGCGGTGTTCCACAGGGGTCAGTGTTGGGCCCCCCCGCTGTTCACAAATTTCATAAAGCAAGATGAGGGCATAAAGAGCGACATCGGCAAGTTTTCCCATGACACCAAAATAGGCCGTCGAATTCTTTTGCCGAGGACATTCGGCACTCCAGGGAAAATTTGAAAAAGTGATGCATGGTCGGGGAAGTGGAATGCAGTTTAATATAGCAAATGCAAGTTCTAAATGTTGGACGGAAAATAACCATGCCACATATAAAAAAATAATTAATTTAATATTCGGATTGGAAAAAAGATTTAGGGGTTCTGGTTAGCAGTAATCTAAACCAAACAACAGTGCATAAGTGTTTGCAATTAAAACTTTTGAATCCTTGGGTTTATAACAAAAGCATAAATAATAGGAGTCCTCAGGTTGTTCTTCAACCCCCTTAAACCTTGGTTTTGGCCTCATTTTTTAACGCCAAATTTTTTTTCACGTATTACAGAATGGATATAAATTTCTGGGAAAAAGTACAAAGGGGGGATGAAAAGTTGTCCCATGTATCAGAAAAACCTTCCTATGGGGATAGACTAAGGGGCCCCGAAACTGCACTCTTAGAAAGACGTAGAATTAGGGGGGAATGATTGAGGTGTATAAATGGGAAAACAGGAAAAAATAAAGGGGATGAAAAAAGCGTGCTGAAAATATTACCCGAAGGACTGCAGCAAGGGTTTTAAGTTGGAAAAATTCAGATTCA